ATTTGCTATCAATATATACGGTCCAATTCTAATATTTTTGTTCGTTGACCAAAAAAAAAAATTCTAATATTTTTGTTGAAGGCTTTGTTTTAAGAGACCCCATTACTCATTTTGCGAGGCCCCTAAAATCTCAAAGATGCCCTTGCTCCCATCCTCTCCTCTCATCTTCCCTCTCAATTACATCTCCACTATCATTCTTACCTTCATTCTCCTTCTTTTTCCTCTATATTACTCTAGCATAAAAAATGAAAATAAAAACTAAAATTGAAATAGTTATCAAAATGGCACTTATATTTCTAGTTTACAAAAAATTAAAATATATATATTCATTTTCTAAATAAATAAAGACAAAAAATCACTCTTCATCTCTATAGTTTGTTGGATTTTTACTTTTGCATGTGGTTTTAATTCTAGTAATTTGACTCTTGTAATTTAATATACGTCGCAATTTAAAGACATGTTCAATTTTTCGATGGAATAAGCACGTGTCCCTTACGTGGAAGGGTATTTTGGACGAATTTTTTTATGGAATTTTATAGAAGTTTGTATGTGTTTTAAATTGTGATATAATTAAACTTTATGCCAAAGTTAAAATTACATAGACCAAAGAGAACTAAACAAACTACATGAGTCAAAGTGACTTTTTCCCATAACAAAACATAAAGACTAAATCAACCTCATTTATGCGACAATAAATTATACACTTGTCATTTTATGGGGTATTAAAAAGTGGGCGAAAATATTATTTTTTATTTTTCCAAAGTTATGAATAGGGAGAGGGTTTTCTCACACGCATTATTAAGATGTCATGAAGTTCGAACTTGAGACTATTGATTTGCAAATCCATACCCCTAATCGAATTTATACTCAAATGATTAAATAAGAGTACGAAATATACAACGGGGAACAAATCCTGCTCACCAAATATCTTTTCATAATGCTATCAACAATCACGGATCAGAAACTAATCAAACACGAAGATGTGGTTGCTGAGCTTTGCTTGATTTATTGACATCAAACCGTCTTCTGATGTATCTAGTTATGGTTTTCAAGTGCAGATAGATTTTATACATCCTCACCTCAGTTTCTAGTGGTGTTGACTTGTTCCTCCACCTTAGCTTTTGTTTTGGCATACAACGGATAGATTTCTTCCACATATTTGTTTTATTTTATCTTGACTTTTCAAGTTCACCGGCCACAAATAATAACGTGGCTTCAAAAAAACAATGCGGAAATTTTAAAAGAAGGAAAATAAGAAGGAATAAGACAATTTAATTGAATTAAAAACGAGCTTTTGATCAATTGTTGTTAGCAAGTTAAATAAATTCACTTGAAAATCATATATATCCAATAGCAAGTTAAATAAAGTGGTACTTCTTTTCGTAAAATTAGAACATATCAAAAGTTTGAATTACCATATCTATTAACGAAATAAAAGTTCATTTATATTTATAATGTCTTATAAAATCTAAAGATTGTCCGTTCTTGTTCTTGATGTATATTTTGTGAAAAATTTCGTAACGCTAAGATTAATTAGCATGTCTTTGTATGTTTGTAAATGTCGGAGCAAAAATTACTCCCCAAGAAATCAATCCACTAGCATCCTAAACTTGAGGAAGTTGCTGCAATCAAGATACATATTTTTCTATTTTCTATCAATGACTACACATGAATGAAATCATAAAATTAGTGGGACTTAATGGCTAAGGCCTACCAGGATAAAAATGTCATATGTCCAAGAATATATCAAAGGCTACCATATTTCATGCCACATGACAAGCCCATATGATCACCAACTATCATGCCCATGATGGATTGGTTATGGCTCATGGAAAAAGCCATGAAACATAGAATTTGGAGCCCAAGATTCAATTGCTCATAAAAAAAACAAAAAAAAAGCCAATTAACGCAGCATCCCAATAGAAAAAAAGGGATGTACAATATTATTTCTAAATTCTCCTGCAATTTCTTGAATTCCTACTGACTTAGCATCATAATGTTTTTTTGCAAGTACCCCTCCTCCCTTATTGGTTGCAAGTGAAGAATAATGTCTTATTTTTCAACATTGATTACAAGATTACTTGTTAGATGATCCAAAATTTTACACTCCAACGATAAAGTTGTTTTACATGCCACAAAGAATCGTCATAAAGCAACATGGATTACTTACAAAATAATTTCATTGTCAAGTTTCTCAAGTATTGAACAATAGGAATACAACACGAATATATTCTTAAACACAAGGTTAATTTGACTTTTGAGTAGTTTGATTGAATGTGAGGTTAATTTGACCTAAGTGTTAAGTCGACCTTCGTTTTTCGCAATTTAGAATTGATTGATTCTACAATATTACCACTGATATTATATTAACTTATTATGTTAAGGATTTTCGGGGTTCATGTTATATGCCATTAAAATTGAAAAGATTTACATCCTTTTACCACAACTATGATTAGTTGTTCCAAATGATTGATGGTAGGAGGTATTAGTTAAACGTGTTACATAAGTCTATGACAAAAAGGTCGGGGAAAGAAAAAAACTATAATTTGAAAACCATACATACAATACCAAGTCAGGAAACTTAAAACTAAAAGAAAATCTTCATATAATTCAAATTAAATATGTTTTTAATCTCGAAATAAGTCTATCCTTTTTTTGGTTTTTATAGATTACCCACTAAGAGGAATTGTCAGTAGCGAAACTCTAACTTAGACATTGATAGCGAAGAAAAGGATCCTTACCAACTCAACCAACCCTCATTGACAAAATAAGTCTATTATTCTTTTTATAGTAATCCATTCCATTCAAGATTTGTGTTATTTATGCTAATATCCCATTTGGACTATAACTATGATAAATGTTCTTAATTACTAATGGGAAACCTATTATTACCCCAAACTGACTAGGATTGGAGTGCGGATCCACCCTTAGGTTAGGGTGGAATCTAGCCCAATATAAATGGTGACAAAAATATGAGTTTAATGTTAAATTTTAGAGAGTTCATCCTATTATATTATTACATCCGAATTATCAAGGATGAAGTGAATTTTTGCCACAATTAACAAACTTTGGTGCGGCACGCAAACTAACATTAATTGTGGCTAAACAGGAATCTAATTAGTTTTGGACTAGACAACCCCTAACCTCCGAAGAACCTAGGGGTATATTTGTCATTCTATCTATCAGGGTATTCTCGTAGTTTCGTGAGAAAGCAAGGGGCAATCGTTCAATTCCACATCTATAAATACAGAGAACTCAACCCCTCCTCCCATTCCTCTACCCCATATTTTTTTTCCTCCTCTCTCTCCCTCTCTCTCTCTCTCTCTCTCTCTCTCTCTCTCTCTCTTTCTCTCTTGTCTCTTTCTTTGCAACAATCTTTCTCCAGATTCCGGTTAATTGTCCGTACGGTCTCTTCTCTCCCACCCAAACCTTTGCCCTCCCTTTCTCTTTTCATTTTTTATTTTTTTGGGTGGGTCCTGATTTTTCCTGAATCTGCTTTTGTTTTTAGGATTTTTCATCCTACAGTCAGTTTCTAATTTTTTTTTACTGTTAATTTACCGTTTTACCCTTTGATTTGGACGTTTTGTTTTGTTTTTTTTTTCTACGTACCAAACAAGTTTTATCAGATTTATCCTTTTTTTATAAAAAATTTCCTTCTGGGTTGGATTTGTGGTGGGTTTCATGAACTGCGGCTGCGCACGTGGCATGCACCCAGATAGCCATCATGAACACCAAAACGATGCGTTTGCCACCTCGTCGGATTTCGACGACCAATGCGTCAAATAACAACAAGCGCAAAGAGAAGGAGAGTGGCTTCGACGCGCTCCACCAGTCAACAACAACAACAAAGATGCTCAAGCTGGCCCCACCGCCTCAAGCCGGCTCCAACAGGTCACCGGAGCCGGCTTCTTCCGGCCAGCTTCTAGCCGGCTATTTGGCGCACGAGTTCCTCACCAAGGGCACGCTCCTAGGGCAGCCGTGGGACACATCCAAAGCCGAGCCGGCTCCCGCGTCTCCGGATGAGGAAGCCGAGCCGAGATCGGGATCCGAGCCGCATTTTGAGAACTTGGAGAGATACGTGGAAGTTGCTGATTTGCTGAAGACGGATGGGGCCCACTTAGCTGGCATTGTCAACCCAACTCAGCTCGCTCGCGTTTTACAGTTGTGAGGCAGATGGGAGCTAGGAAAGGGGCAAAAATCCATTCGGCATTTTGGCTTTCAAATATGGAAATTACATTTTTTTTTTCCTTTCTTTTTTTCTTTTTTGTAGCGGGCAAAAATGTATGAATGTATGTACGTGCTCGCAGGGCTTGTAGGTAGGCATCCATTATGAATGTTTGATAAAATTGCTTTTCAATTTAAAATAGAAATGGGAAATTTTCTGAGCAATTACTCTTTGATTATTTTGCTATAACATCATATTTAGAACATCTGTAAATATTGAAATTGACCTTAACCAATAATAGAGATGCCACACCTAAATAACATTTACATCTAATCACACTTAAGTTACATTATCATTATCAAGTGAGATGTCAATCGGAAGCAAATTAATCATCAACGCTAAAATCAAGTTTTCAGTCACGCGTGGCCGCCTCATCAATAGAAGAGAACTCATCTGCGGCCATATATGACTGTCGGTAACATTTTTCATATAATACTTGAACTCAAATTGTACGTATTGAGTTTCGATTTGTACATCTAACTTTATTTGTTGGGTTACAAATTTAAATGAGATTCATTGAAGATTGTAAATTATAAGAAGCTTAATTGCTCTAGTGACTTTTGAAAATATGATTAAATCTTACATTGCTCCTTAGAATTCAAAGTGATCCCTCGCGGTCGAATCCGTCAAATAATATGTTTAAAAAGCTGACGTTGGCATAAATGAGACTCACAACTTTATTCAACAAAGATGTGGGTCCCATCTGCTCATGTGGTGCAAGCAAACCAAATTGCAAGTACTTGAAATTGTTTCACAAAACACGGCCGTTTTCATGTAACTACTTTAACATCTGAGGCGTCATCAAGACTTGACAGGAGAAGAGGGAAGAAGAGAAAAACGAGGGAGGAAAAACAAAAACGGAATAGGAAAACGTGGTTTTCTATTCACGTCTGAATTAGGTGTGGCATTTTCACAAACACTTGGGGTGCAGAGACTGATTCACCACTGAAAAAAGCACCAAAAAATGCTGAGCTTTCAAACTTGCCTCCCGCCCATACTGCCGAGCGCCTCTGTGCACCGTACCCGCGCTCTAAACTCTCTTCCTTGCTTGGCTATCTCGAAAAAATCCGATTCGGAGCCTGATCCTAAACCTCGCTCCAACGCGAAACCGAAACATCGCCGCCGAAAAATTGAAACTTCTGAAGACGAAGATGAAGAACAAGGCGAGACGTTCCCGACGACGATTCCGAGGAAGCCTCGGCGTGGGCGTAGAAGCGAGGCGGCCGCGGTGGAAGATTACGTGCGGGAGTCACTTGATCGAACATTTGCATCGATCAGAGAGCAGAACCCAGAAATTGTTGAGAAGAAAGAAGAAGTGATGAAGAGGAAAGTTGACGACGATGAAGAAGATGAGGGTTTTGGAAGAGAGAAGAGCATGGTGGTTGAAGAGGAGAGTAGGGACTGGCCTTTGGATGCTGACGTGGGGTGGGGGATTAGGGCTTCGGAGTACTTTGAGAATCACCCGATAAGGAACGTGGTGGGTGACAATGGGGTTGAGCTTGATTGGGAAGGTGAGGTTGAAGATAATTGGGTGAAGGAGATTAATTGCTTGGAATGGGAAAGCTTTGCATTTCATCCAAGTCCGCTTCTGGTTCTTGTTTTTGAGAGGTACAACAGAGCAAGCGATAACTGGAAGGCTTTGAAAGAGCTCGAAAAGGCAGTCAAGGTCTATTGGGATGCCAAAGATCGCTTGCCTCCTCGGGTATGCGTGTGTTATCAAACTCGTCATTTTCATTTTTTTGCAATGATTTATGGATGATTGCTGTTAAAGATTGTAACTTTACCTCCAATTTCTGTTTTTGTATTCAACAGTCGGTTAAGATAGACATTAATATTGAGAGAGATTTGGCTTATGCTCTCAAAGTTAGAGAATGTCCTCAGATTTTGTTTCTACGAGGAAACAGGATCTTGTACAGAGAGAAAGGTGAGAATTTATTTTCCTTAAAAAATCAGTGCTTTTATTAGCTAGAACCAAGGCATGGATCATATACTTTTGCAAGTTGTTCCTATGTTGCCATGATATTAAGTTTGTTTTGTTCTTGTAGAGATTCGAACAGCAGAAGAATTGGTTCCAATGATAGCGCATTTCTACTACAATGCAAAGAGGCCCTCCTGGATTGATGTCAAGGAGTTATCTCCACCTTACTAGTGGCAATCTGGTACTTAGAATCTGAACGCTGTAAGGTTTTTTTTTTTCTTTTGTTTATTTATGCTTGAAGCTTGATTATGAGCTCTGCCCTGATGCTTCAACATCTGTTTTAATTTTTTTTTTGCCCTCCAGGCTTCAGATTATGCGCTGGTGAAAGCATTGGTTAATTCAGAGCTTGGAAGCATGAAGCACAATCGAGAGTAGGTTGCATTTGCAGGTATAAGCTGATGATCCCTGGGTATTGATTTTGAATGGGTGTTAATTAGGTAATGAGTTATTGTCATTTGTGTTTGATGATATCTTTCTTTGACCATACTGATATAATTTTTTAAATGAAACGAACCTAATGGAGCTCGCTCCTACAATGTCAGTGATTATACAAGATGCTAAATTTGCACAATAAAAAGAATTAGGTATAGAATGGGAATTGGTTAGCTGTAATTTCAATGCATTCTTCACTCATGAGCTTCTTGTGGAATATGGACCAATTGTACTAGAAGCTAATATCATGGATATGATATATCATTACACTAATTCACGGCTTGTAAATTGCAAACAAGGCAAGGCAGTGAAGGCACTCTATTAATAGGCTCAGAATTAGAGAACAATAGATCCCAAAAAGTTACACTAGAAACGATGCGTTCTTGTCAAAGGAATGTCAAAGCTTCATACCACATGTTGCTTCTTCTTCCTCGTTCTCCTGGCGGCTGCAGGTCCATATATAATTTCCTACTATTCACTCATATTATCATAGGGTAGCTGATAAATACATGCGTATTCACGATTGGGATATGTCTAAACGCTTTGTTTTCATAACATTCTTATACCAATTGTAATGTATGGGCAAGGCTGTATAAAACTGTTCTAATTTGGTTTTTGTATCCTCTCTCTCTCTCTTCCTAAGCAAACACATTTTATTCCCCTCTTAGGATGTGCGACTCTCATAAGCGATACTGATTATTGCTGCATGTGTGTTTGTATGCATTGTGGAAGTTGAAACAGAGTATGCGAGAACCAGGTGAGCAGCCTGCGTGTGTGGCATCATGGGACTGTTTTAATGGTGAAGAGGGCAAATGTAGCTTGCAGGAAAAATTTAAAGGTTGTGGAATCTGCAGCTATGGTTTGCTTGCTGGACATAAGATTTTTGCTGGTGCGGCTATGGTTTGCTTGCTAGACATGATAAAATTTAAGTATGTACGTCAAGTGTTTAAGATACACTAAACGCAATAAGATCTATATCCCCTTTCATATGGTTTTTGCATTATTTAATATATAATTACTTGTTGACTATGTACATTTTTATTCAACCAATACACTCAACTTTTTCAGAAAGCTCAGAAATAGAGATTAATTTTCTTAAATTGTGGTAGGATACTAGTGTCCTTTTAAACTTACAGTTAATATAAAATTCAGATCATTTAAGAAAAAAAATTAAATAAAAAGAAAAATAAAAGAGGATTAGGCACTATATAAACAAGTCTTAAATGAAATAACAAAGAAAAAAAGGCAATAAATAAACTCCTTTTTATCTGCTCATGTGAGTCTTGTGGTGACTGCAGTTTTTTGTCCTGGTATTTGGGAAAATCATGTAATATACATGAAACAATTCCCAGTTAATTGTACTGTCCATCCCTCTTGGCACAATCAAACCTTCACAATCTCTTCCATTTTTAAATTTACCAAGTAAATTTTCAAAAAAATGTATATATATATATATATATATCTAAAATTGGATATGTATTGGTTTGGAATCAAGTAAGGAATGCAGCAGCAGCAGCATATGGCACATATAGAAGCTAATTGAGGTTGATACGACTCAACTGCTTGCTCATGCAAGGCAGTGCACTCCATAAATATGCTTAGAGTCAGAATTAGAATTAGAATAAGAAGCCACCTATATATTTTTGTGAAGGAAATAAATGGCAAAGCTTCTTCATATTCATACCGCCACCACCACGGCTTGCTTCTTCCTCCTCCTCCTAGTCCGCCTAGCAGCAGCAGGAGGAGGTCCATAGATACTTATAATACTTTCCTCCCGTTTATATATTAATTAGTTAGTTCTCATAGACTATGATGGTGATTGATTTGTGTTGGGTTTTTGCTGCGTTGTGTGTTGTTTTGTAGTTGAAGCTAGTGGAGTGGTGGGCGTGGTGGCAGGTGAAGAAGAAGAATCAGACGAAGGCGAGCCTCTTCGGTGCATAACCTCGTGGGACTGCACCAGTGTCCAAGCTTGCAAGCAAGAATGCTCGCGCTATGCCAGAAGCTATGGATCCTGCGTAACTTCAGAGCCTCCTCACAAAGTTTGCTTGTGCACCTATGACTGCCCATGCCCTCCTCCATCGCCCTAGTTACATATAAGTTAACATACATACATGTAAATAAAACCTCACATCCCCTGTCTGTCTGTATATGGGATGGGATATCTTTGCATTAAATTGCAAAATATAATAATTTCAATATCCTTATTGAAAAAGTGTCACACTTGTTCATGACACAGGAACTTATATTGCCATATTTTCTCAGCTATCAAGCTTGTTGCCTCCCTCTCAAACAGAAACTATACTATTCGCATAAACAACAGGTCCGTTATATTCTCTACCACAAACTGGATTTTCAAGTGGATCATAATAGCCTGTAGCAGTTTGAATAGTAGGAAGAGACATTCGGTTTTTGGTACGGATGTTATAGCAGACTGTACATCCATTGAACTCAACCACAAGAAGATGATCGCTTTTCGAGAAGGCCAATGCCCACGAGCAGGCCCGGAGCCCCATTAACATGGGGCTCAGGCTCACCGTGAGCTCAAAATCCACATATTTTGTCCAAACACAATCACCAAAACCATCCTCCATCAGCATCAGCCACATTCCAAAGCATCTAATGCCATTACTATTATTACGCAAGCCACAAAGAGAAATGGAAGATTCATTCCACACTATAAGGTACATGTAAAGCCCTGGGAAAATATAACAGTTGCTGGCTTCTAGCAGCTCATCTGGTAACACTAGCTCATCAAACACCTCACCACTCATATCAAACGAAACAATCACTTGCCTAATCTCGTTTTGATCATGTAGAGCTTCCTCGTCATCCATGAATTCCTTTTGTTTCTCAATTCCCAACCAATAACACATCCCCTTCAAGTATATCTGGAAACTTTCAGGCCAAAGGAAAGTAGTTTCTGTTTCTAAAGAATAAGACTTGATCTCTCTCCAACAAGAAGAATCTTCACTAGTTCCCAACGTGTACACTTCTGCTCTCAGAGGATAAATAACCACAGAATAATTTGTATGAGCATGCGTTTGCGACCAAGAAAACATAATGTTAACAACTTTGTAAGCTTTAGATATAGGATCATAGCCAAATCCCATGCCACTTCTGAGCCGACTCGAGTTTGGTGTGTATGGGATTCCCTGCTCAAGTAGGGACATCATATCCGGAAGGTATTTTTGCGAGGGAAGAAGCTTGAATTCCTGAATTGCCGGATTCCACAAAAACACCTTACCATAATCGGCGAAGGTGGCTACACAAATGATCCCATGACAATGGCCTACAACACTAAGTTCTTCTTTACTCATACAAAGTGGAACATTTATGTCCTCCACCCTAGACAAAACAAGCCTATATATATGCTCACCATCACCATCACCATCATACTCGCAAAAAGTAAGCATTGAGAACACCGGTTTGGTCTCGTTGGCGTTCGGGTCCTCATGAGGGACTAATCGCTTCAAAAAGATACAAATGGATTGATTGTTGTGCAAGCAATTGAAGAGTTGATTGTCTACGAACCTGGGATTGTTGATCAGAGCATACCACCATTTGGCCACGCACTTGAACCGCATCAGGGTTTTCGGAGGCAGACTTGATAGAACTTTTTCCAATAAATCTTCCCCAATTTTGCAAATGTTTGCCATTTCTACTATATATGTCAACTCTCAAACCTTTCCTCCCTTTCTGTCTTCTACCTCTTCTTCTTCTGCACACACAAACAAAAAATAACAAACAACACCCAGACATAAAGGAATTATCATATCTATATTATATATATAAATCAAAGAGTAAAAACAACGCAAGACTTTCTCAAATGTAATCCACAGAATAAACAAAAACAAATATTAAAAGGGATTAAAGTATAAAGAAAAACCATATTAAACATTATAAAGAAAAACAAACAAAACAAGATATATATATATATATATATATATAGTTACCTTAATTAGTCAGTGAAGAGGAACATAGAAAATATACAATGGAAAGAAGCAAAATTATGGTTTTGATAATGCGGGATGAGATAGAGAGATATAAAAGCTTTCTTAGTTATCCTATCTATGCTAGTCTTGTTATATTATGGATGTTAAGTACATGGAGAAGAGAGAGAGGGGACATAGATTTATGTCATCCTTCAGATCTGCGGTCCCCCAACCTCAACATCAACCCTGTCAACAACACTACATGTGAATGTTATGTTGTTTCTGTTTCTTGCTTTCTTTTATGTAACATTCCATGTGAGTCTAAATTAGTCTAAATTGGACACATTGATGCTGATTGTGAGTTTAGGTTACACACACACATATATATATATATATATATATATATCCTTGGGATGGATCACCCATCTCCATCGATAGAGATCTTCCTTAATATCTCCCTCCCTCCCTTTCTTAATTAGCATAAATTGTTCTTAAAATCAAACATGAAATTCTTGGAGACCATAGTTGCGATGGTGTTAGGTATTGCTCTTTCCTTCAACATTGTGGGAAACATGAGCTGCAATGCTGCTGGACAGTATGACTACTTTAAGTTTGTTCAGGAGTCTCCTTTTGCATATTGCAAAGATGGTAATGGAAAGAATAGATGCAACATCCTACCTCTACCACGGATATTTACCATTCATGGCTTGTGGCCAAGCAACTTCACAAATCGTCATGAACCTTGCGTTGGTGCACAATTTAGTAGAG